ATTATCTGTGGCTGCACGGATGTGAAGGGTGAGTATTATTTTTTACAACACATATAAAATAAACACACGGCCCAGCTAAAACTGTCTGTGTGCCGCCAGGGAAGCACATCATCCACCTGCACTCTAAGTAACAGCGCTTTCTCTCATTTAATTAAATGAAATAAGTTGGGGGACATTTGTCGAGCAGTGAACATGTGCCAGACACACAGTAGGTGCTTTATATGTTATCTCAATGAAGACGGCAGTGCTCTCAGTTGCCGTCTGAGCTCAGTGTTATTTTTATACGTGTTTTACAGATTCAAGAAGTGGAAGCTCAGAGAGGGGGAGGCTTGCCTAAAGTTACACAATTAATGACGGAAAGGTCAGGACTTGAATTTGTGTCTTCTGGGTTCAAATGGCAAGCTTTGCGCCCTGGGCTACCGCATGACCAGAAAGAAGGTGCTTGCAGCGGCCTGGTGCCTTTACTGTGGGTCTCAGCCAGGGTGGAGGATGCTGTCTTTGTGTCTTTGTGTCGAGACAGCTTTCCGTTGATGAGAACACGTGTTCCTTCTCCAGCAAGTGCTCTGAAAAGCTGCCCTTAGATATTCAGTTGACAGACAGAAATGTGACAGGTGTGTCTTGGGCACGACTCCTTCCTTTTNGGCCCTCCTTTCATTTCACGAGTGACAACACCCAAATGAAAAGGGTTCAGTAACCCCCGGCTGCCCACAGAATGTAAGCAGTGGCGTCACGGGCTGAATCGAGAGCCTTGGGTGTGAAAGTTGTGCTCCTTTCTGCCGGCCCATATCTGCAATATATTTTACCCATGTCTGCATGGTCAGGGGTTGGGGGTTCTTAATGCTACATTTCAGGGCCTTTATTTCTTTTATTTCAGAGATAATCTAGAAGAAGCATTTACTAACCTTTTAAAAACTGATCAGGTTTTTAACCTTTAAGGTTTATTTACTTGCTGGGAGTAAGGTATTTATTCAAAGTGATTTTCTCATAGTGTGGATAGACGGCGATACTCAAATAAAAAGGTGGGGTTTTTTTCCCCCAAGCACATAGTTCCTTGGTAATATACAAGGTGTAAAAATCAACTCACACTGTTGAGAAAAATCATTATGCCCTTTCCAGGTGCAGGAAAATGTCACTGGCGTGGGCTGTTCCTCTGTGAAGCAAACAAAAGCACGGAGCCTCGAGGCTCTGCCCCCTCTTTCATGATGGTGACAGCTGGCCTCCGCTGCCTTCCAGCTGTGTGCCAGGCATCACGCTAAACACTTCCCTTACACGCTTTCATTTCATCCTCTCAGCAGCCCTCTGAGGCCAGACCCCTGGGAGCCTCATCCAATGGAGGAGAGACGCTAGGTAACTGCACCCCGTAAAGACAGGTTGAGGTCCTCACTATTTGTGTCTCAACCTGTGACCTTATTTGGAAATAGGGTCTTTCCAGAGGTGATGAAGTTATCACGAGGTCATTAGTGTGGGCTCTAATCCAATAGGGCTGGTGTCCTTAAGAAAAGGGGCAGTTTGGACACAGAGGGAGACACACAGAAAGAAAGCAGCCATGTGACGGGAGTGATGCTTGCATAATACAGGTCACAGAGCAGAAGGAGTGCAGCAGAGAATCCAAGCTGGAAGAGACCAGGCCAGGAGGGCTTCTCCCGAGACCCAGAGGGAGAGCGGGGCTCTGCTGACACCCTGATCACAGACTTCCAGACTCCAGAGCTGCCAGACAATAGATTTCTGTTGTTTCAGCCGCCCGGTGTTTGGAGCATTGTTACGGTAGTCGTGGGCGACGAATACAGTAGATTTTCAAGGTCAAAGTGACAGCCAGTGATGCAGCTGACATTTGGACACAGGCAGCTATGAAGAGCTCAGTGAATGTCACCTGCTCTTATTATTTATAACCCTGTTAGCAGTGATATTTAGCATTGTTATTATTAGTCATAAGATTTAGGGCGATTGTTGTCTCCTTCCCCCTAAGCCTGTGCTAGTCTCCATTTACTATGCTGCAGCTGGGAGTTTTACCTGTCACAGATTCAAAAACCTATTAATCTCACTGAAAACTGAATACGAAATCGGTTCTCCAGACTTGAGCAGCTTGCCAGGTTCAGACACCAGACAGTCCCCGCTTGCAGGGAATGTGCCCTTCCCAGCCTCACGTCTCTGGGACTTGGTGAGAGAACATTTGTGAAAAGATCGCTATGTTTAGCCCGTGTTCAGGACACCCACCTAAACCCAAAGCCCACCCCCCTGAGCCATGGGGCGAGCGGGAGGCTGCAGTCCTGCGTTTGATGAGGACTCACCTGAAGAGAATCGTTGCAGCTCTGCTCTGCTCTGACGTCGAGCATCCGAACCTGCATCCACAGAAACGTAATTCAGCCCCTTAATTTTCTAGACCTGGGATAATTGGTTCCATAGAGACACAAGGACTGGTGCTCTCAACACGGTGTCAGACACTCTGCTTACCAGTAATCAGAGGGTCAGCTCCCCTGAAGTTAGAAAAGTGTGTGTGTGTGTGTGTGTGTGTGTGTGTGTGTGTGTGAAGGGTTGTGGGGGTGGGCAGAGAATCATTTCTGCATTCTTTATCATAATGCAGGTGATTTTTTTTCTGAAGGTGAAGTGAATTCAGTAGAACCAGACCCAAATTTGTCACCCCCTCCCTGCTCTGTGCCTCAGCTGACATCCCGTGCAGTTTGCCACACTGTAAAGCATGCTGGAATTTAGGGGAAAATAAAGCCAGCCATCTTTTCTAGTTTCACAAATGGGTCCCACCCCCCCACACCACCTCTGGGGGGAACTGCAAACAGCTGGGTGAGCGCAGAGCTGGCCGTGTGGAGAAAGCCACAGGCAGGACATTTGAAGATGTGGTTTCTAATTTAGGTTCCATCGCTGGCTCGCTTTGATTCTCTGGGAAGTCACGTGGTTCCCGTGACCTTGGTTGGGTTACTTGTGAAATCCGAGAAACACACAGCCCAGAGCTGCAGCTCCGAGCTGCAAGGAGGGTTACTGGGGTGGATGTGTAGGTACAGTGGCCTTCCAAAGTGAGGGGCACAATTCCGGATCCCTGGCTCTACGTGGAGGTTGTTTGCATGACATAATGCGTCCCATTCTTAGGGTAGCTGGGAGAGAGTATCATGGCTGATATTAGGCAGCAGTCCCTACCTCCTTTCTCACCTCGCCTCTTATCACCGCTTTGGAGTCAAAATGATTTCACAAATCTTCATTACATTGTCGGCACGCTAAGTGACTCCACCATTTCCAAGGGCGAAAGGGTCAGGGCCACGCAGTCATTAGCCACCAGCCACAATCGACTAGGATGTGGGCTCTGTCTCTCCAAGCTGTCAGTGCCCGCCCTGTATCCTGAACGCCAGCTCTGAACTGTGTGCCCTGCAGTTCGGCTGCTTGCATTTTGGATTATTTGGTTTCCAGCCTTCTTGCCGTGGCATTTGAGGATAGGTTGATTGCTCCATTACCTCAGAGTCCCACTCTGCCGTTTTCCCCTTGCTTGAGAAATTCGGATCCGAAAGAGCAGAGGTCACCATAGCCAAGGACAAGCCATAGATGGGGGGTCCGTGATGTAGCCCGGGGTTCCGGCATACAGCCCACCGCTCAGTGCTGCAGCAGTTCAGAGAAGGGAGAGCAAAGGGTTTACCTGCTCCTGCCGGCCAACGGCTAGAGCGATTGCTTTCCAAACCCTGCACTCTATTTCCACATGAATCTGGCAGCCTCAGTATGCCCCGTTCCCACCTCCACAAACCCTCAGTGGCTGTCCGGTCATACCAGCCAGCTTTCACTGCAAGCCCTTCCAAAGCTTAGTGGACTGAAAGGATAAGTCTGTTATTTCTTATAATTCTGTGCATCGGTTTTCTGGTCTGGGTGGGCTCTGTTGGGCCGGCATGTCTGGATGGCCCCATTCATACATCTGGCCCGGCTTGGGTCAAGTGCACCCATCTCTCATCCCCCCATAGACCCATCCTGGCTTCTTCACGTGTGCTCTCAGGGTTCCCGAGAGCAACAGGAGAGGGCGAGCCCCAATGCACAGGGGCTTCTCCAGACCTTGTCTGCGTCACTGCTGCTGATGGGCCGTTGGCCAGGCCCAGAGTCAGAGCAGGAGGCTGCGATTCTGGCAGGCTGTCATCACTGCAGCACCATTGAATGAGGTCCCATGTCACGGACATGGTTTTCATTCTGTCTGAAGGCCACCGATGNTCCAGCCAACCACTGTACCATTCAGGGTTCTCACGATGAAAACCGTTAATTCCTCTTTGTTCCTAGAAGGGTTTTTGGAATCTAAAAGTCTATTCAGAGCTCTGTGGGAATGAATTTTCATTTATTTATTATATTCATAAAACCTACTTGGTCCCATGTAGCCTCAGGAGGCACCAATATCATTTTAAAATATCCAGAATGAATAACCATTCAGAAATCCCTCAGAAACCTAAAATTGTCTAGTCTTCGCATCCTTCAAGAGGAAGCACAGGCAGGAAGGCAGGGTGGAAGGTTGGAAGACAGGGAATGAAAGTCAGATCAAGCTAACTGGCTGGTATGGTGGCTTCAGTGCCAAGTCTCCCTTCCCTCACGTCATAAAACGACCCGTGTCGCCAGGCAGTGTCTTTTGAACAGAGTGGCTGGTCATTAAATATTTGTCTTTGTTTGAAACTGTTGGAAGAAGAAACCTACAAACTGACTAATCATGACCACACCATTAACTATTATTTATACATGGTACTTTAGAGACTACAAGACAAATATCACACCATCACACCCTTGCGGCCGTTGTGACTTGTCAAATAAAATGTGACCAGAGATTGGGGTGGGATGGAGGGGCAGGCAGGGGAGAAGGGTGGCCCTTTGCTTATCACCACTACGTGTGTATCCCTTGATATCCGTCATGGTTCTCTTCCTATTGGTTGTTGACTTTTAAAGTTAAGAATTGGAGAAATGAATCAAAGCTGTGAACGGATCCCTTAGAAGAGGAAACACACAAATAACCAAAGCTCTGTCTGTACTTTCAGGAGGTTGATAGATGCCTTACAGGCCCGCCGTGGACCTGCCCTGGACAACCTGGCCTCTGAGTACCAAGCAGACCATGCAGCGCAGACGGCTAAGACAGGTAGGGTCTTCCTCTTTCATTTATCACAGGATGCCCAAGGCCTAGCACTTCCGGTGGCACATAGTAGGTGTTTGATAGACACCTATTTAATGAGTGAATGACAGGGAGACTTTGAATTTCTATAATGTGCCTTTCAACCACGCATCGCAACATGCTAACATCGTCATCCCATGATTGTTTAAGTCTGGTTTTAGTTTTGAGGCATGACAGCACAAACACTCAGTTTGTGTCAGTGTTTGTTTGTTTGTTTGTTTGTTTTCCTGCTGTGCCTCCCTGTGCTATTGCTAACCAAGTGAGTACTTACGGAAACAGCTGCTTCTCATTATCTGTGAGTGGCTTTGTGAACTTGAGCAAATTTTGTCATTGCCAACGTTAAGATGCTAACATAATCTCTTCTCCCCCAGTCCTTCTGGTATGTTGGAGAAAAGACGTGATATGATAGAAGTGTGAATTTTCCATAAATAGGAAAATTTCCCAGTTTTCCACACCATTCCAGCTGTTCATGGGTGTGGTTCCAGGGACAATCGGTGTGTTGGTCAGAGCAGGAGAGGGGTGACGTATGCTGTTAAACACTTAGTGAACAAGGTGTGGCCTGCCACATATGTGATGTTTTAGGGCGACATTTTATAATGGGATTTTCTCAGGCAGAGCTAGAAAAAAATAGATAAATTGGGAGGGCTGCTGGTCTGCCTGATACTTGATAACGCCCCGCCCCCACTTCCTCCTCCATCCCCGCATCCATCGCCGTCATCAACCCAAACTCATTAGTCCCAGTGTCCATATCAGGAAAGTGACGTTGACCCTTCTCTCGCCCAAGACCCTCTAAAGCCTTTTTGCAGCATCTGTGTTGCTGATTTGGACATTTAAACTTCTCTCCAACTTCAGGGAGGCTGTTTAAATGATTAAAACTGTTCTTAACATCCCAGCCAGCTCCTGGAAGTCACCACATCCATGGAGACACCCTCCTGCCTTCCTTCTTCCATCCTGTGATTAAAGACCTTTGTCCCGTTAGTAGCACAGACCTGGGGTTAGCCCCACGCTCTGCCAGTGGCCAGCTGTCAGCTCCTGGCTCTAACCTCCTAATGCCCAGTGTTCTTGCCTGTGAGCTGGGGCTCCGGGGACATCCTCAGAGTTACCGGAAGGCACAGGTAGGAAAACATCTGCACCACTGAGTGCCAGGCCTGCTCTGAGCTGTGCAGCCCTTAGCTGCCGCTGCTGCTGCCGTCATGGATGCAGGTGGCGTTTGCTGGGGGATGCTGCCATCCTGAGCATCGTCTGGCTCGAGCTGAGAGGGAGGGTGCGTCCTGCAGGGACTCCGGCTGGGTCTTCAGTCAGAGAGGGAAGCTCTGCTGTCTGCCCGCTCCCACGGCCTGGTGCTCCGAGACTTTCCTCAGGATGCTTCAGGCCTTTCTCCCTCTCTGGGTTGGGACAGACCAAAGCTTCATCAGGGGCTGAGTCTCCCAACATTCAAGGAGCGGATGAGCGAGTTGTTTATTAAACTGGGATTCACCAAGAGCGCCGGTGCTCGCGGCCTCCCCTCTGGTAGAGACCCCAGAACGGCAGCTCTGTGACAGGCTGCTTTGGGTCCCCACCGTCTGCCAGACCCAGTCTCTCTGTGCTGGTCGTCAGTCGAGTGCTTCTCTGGTGGACCGATGCTGCCTCAGAAACTTCTAACCAGTCTCCCCTTACCCATCCGACTAACCGGTACTCTCTACCCCTTGTGGAAAACGCATTGCCTGATGTCCGGTGCGGTTGTTCCCACCTGGTGGCCTCTCTCTTTTGAGCCTGGCTCTTCTGTGCCCATCAGGGTGGTTACGTACTTGCCAAGGGCCAGCTGTGTGGCTGCCCATATCTAGCAAGGCCAGTTTTCTGTGCTATGTCACTGCGTATTTCAAGTAAATGTTTTACAACTGATTTAGTACAAGTGCAAAAAGAGAGCTGTCGATTCAGTGAACGTTTTGGCAAGAGTTAGGAAGGTCGAGCCACTAAGAGTGCTGTTGAGTTAGACTGTGGGCGAGGAACTCTTCCAGCCTTGGGGACGCAGAGAACCATACAAGCCAGAGAGAGTCTGCACTGCGGCTGTTCCAAAGTGCTCGTCACGTCCTCACGCTGCCTCAGAGACAACAGGGCTGGGGAACCTAGTAGATGACACGCTGTTTGCGTCATTTACGCAAGAGGGACGGTGTGAACTCTGATCACTGGGCTGGTTTAAAGTCAACCACGACAAGAAGCCGAGGCTTACGTCAAAAGCTTAGAAATCGGTCCAATTTATGCGTTTTAAGTTATAGTATAAATTGAAGGTGTGTCTTCATCACTTTTGAGGATTTCCCAGTTCACCCAGTATTTTTTATTAATTGACCAACTACCTTTCGGGTCCCAGTGGGTGCCAGCAGAGGGCTTCTCCTGCCCACGGTACCCACCGTGATACCCGATGCATCTGCTATCCCAGCACAGGCTGTTTTGGGAACAGTCAGTGATGGTGGTGGGTCACGCAGGTAGGTTCAGCCTCTCACCTTGTCTCCTTCAAGCTCATACTGTGAAGCAGGCACTTAGAGCTGAGGGCGCATTCCATGGCCAAAAGCAGTGTGTGTGACTGTCTACCGATACTAGCCGATGCTTTATGGATAATTCTTCATCTACTGCTCTATCCGCTCTCCACATAGCCCCGGAGGTAGGAGTTATTATCACTGCTTTAGGTGGGNGGGCTACTTTGAAAGTGTGCTGGGTGCCACGTGGCGGTAGGAAGGTGGGGATGCCAGGACAGGTGAGGACAAGTTGCAGGAAATCGATGGGGGCTGTTTGCTCCCGTGGGAGTGAAGAAACCCCGTAAAGCCACCCAGATCCTCAGGCAGGGGGCGCGATGTCCTCCCACCCTGTCCTCTGTCGGCCCCGGGAGCGCTCCCTGCTCATGAAAGGGGTCCCAAACATCTCCCCAGAACAGTGATCTTTATCTTATCTTAGAAAAGGGGTCTCATGAGCAAAGAAATCTGGGAACACTTCATACCATATTTCTCTTCTTGTTGGCTCTAAATATTTGTTACTCATGAGAGGCTCTGAGAAAAGGTAACTGATAGCTTAGTTTAGCCCAGTGTTTCTCAAAATTGTTTGACCCTTGTCAGGAAAAGCTGAAAGGCTGTGAAACGGCCCAGAGAGATTCCTGGGTGTTCTTTAGGTGACACGAGGCCTTCCCTGCCCCGTCCTTTTGGATTTATAGGAGTGTTGGCCTTTTATTGTCTCTGACCAAGTTACTTTAAAGATCTGTGAGTTGCAGACAACCAATAGTGAAGCCCTTGTTCTCGGGAGTGCCAACTCACTTCTCCTGGTGGGGTCACCGAACATGTGCGCCAGCAGCTCTGTCAGCATCCCGGTTGCCTGGGTGGCCTGTTCTTTACATTCTTTTTTGTACTTGTTTTTTTGTTTGTTTGTTTTGTTTTTTTGTTTGTTGTTGGTTATTTTTTTTAACATTTTGTTGCTTCATTAATGAGCTAAATCAAAATCTTTGAGATACTTTAATTTTATATTTGTAGAAGAATCTTGATTTTTCTCTTTCATACCCAGAACGTCATTTTGTTTCCAGCCTGTTAGGAGTTTCGTCACTTCACATACCGGTGGCCCCCCAGTGCTGGCCGCTGACGCCTCTCTCTCTTCCAGCTTAGCACCATTAAGGCTGAGCCTCACTGTACCCAGCTACGTCTGGTCTCTGACTCCCCCTTCTGCAGTGTCTGTGGGCCAGCAAGCCTGGGGAAGATGTCATTAAACATGGCTTCTCCAGTGGCCCTTCCCAGAACATACTTTTTGTTTCCCCATCTTCACTTCTGGCATCATTTTCTACGTCCCCTGAGCTGCCATCTTCCAATCTTTACCAAATCCTTCCTACCTTCCCAGGCCCAACCCCCTCATCCATGCAGCCCTCCTTGGTTATTCCAGCCTGAATTACTTTCTTCCAGCTCTGAAGTGCTTCGATATTTAGTATCATTCCTATGCCCTTCTTTATATACATCCTGATGCTGTTTATGAAGATTTTAAAAATCTCGACAAATTCCAGAAGGAGCAGCATGATTCTTTACATTTTTTGGTGGAAGAATGCTGGTATATGGATTTTTTTCTTGCTATCTCAGTCAAAATGGGAATAGTAATGGTGTGTGTGTGTGTGTGTGTAAATGTGCACAAGTGATTTATCAAAAAAAGGCTCCCCGGGGAGACTGGTAAGAATGACAAGGAAACAGGGGAAGGGAGGAAGCCAGGCGCAGGTGAGCTCTCAGGCAAAGTCTGTCAGAGGCTACGTTCAGCCTGATCCCACAGGGACTTCTGGAGCATAAACTGTGCCTCAGATTTGTCCTCACCTGTGAGTCATGGACAAAGGGCCACCCAGGCACTTGCTGGTCATTTGTGCATGCAGAGTGGCCCGAGTCGCTGAGGGAAGTCCTCCAAAGGTGAGCTGTGGGTGCTGGGCATTAGACTCAGAATCACTCAGGAAAGGTATGCAAACATGCTGAACAGAAATCCGGTGGCACTCAGGTGGAGCAGCGGCATTGCCCGTGACCTTGCTTTATAAGAAAATTTTAAATATTGTGATTGAAAACACTACATAAAATAGACCACCTTAACCATTGATGAGTGTCCAGTTCAGTGGCCTTAGGTACATTCGCACTGTTTTGCTGCTGTCACCACTGACCATCCACAGAACTCTTTTCATCTTGTGAAACCGAAACTCAGTACTGACGAAACGGTAGCTCCATCCGTTGCCCTTTCACCAGCTCCTGCAACCACTGTCTGTATGAAGGTGGACGAGTCTGGGCGCCTCCTGTAAGTGGAATCTTATGGTAATTGCCCTTTTGGGGTGCTGTTGTGTTTGTAACCAACACCAACAACCCTTTTAAAAATGGTGCCCTGAAAGGATTGCATCCCAGCAGTGGCCTCTCCGCCCTCTCTTCTCTTACTGGGTGCTGGAGACCTCTCCCGCTCCTGCCAACAGTTACATAGTGCGTCAGGAATGGGCC